TTCCCTGGTCAGAAATGTGGTGGTTTTTTAATATTAATTCTGTCTGTATATTAATTCCCCCTCACTTGGGGATGCCCTGCTGGAAACCTTGCTGTTTGGAGACCCCACCATGTAGAAACGCTGGTGGGAAATTGTGCTCAAAGTTCAGCAGGTCGAGCTGCTGTTTCCCCAGGGGAACATAATTTCTTCTCTGGGTTTTTTTTTTTATATTTTATTTTATTTTTTGCTCTGCTGCTGGTGCTGCGGGCACACCACGCTTGGCCAGAGCCCACCCCATCAGAGAGTCCAAAAATAGATGTAACCAGAGGGGTTGGGCTTGTGAGAACCGTGGGAAGCTGGTGGTGTCACTGCTAAAGGTTATTGCCCCTGGGTCCTGGTTTATTTAAACAGATGCCTGGGCAGGAGACGTGGTTTCCAACAGCCCAAGGCTCAGCTCTGAGCTGAGCAAGCCCAAGCAGCATCTCCTGGGGGAGAGGGACTCCCTGCCACAGCCACGGCCCCACTGCTTCACAGCCTCATTGCACCCAAACGTCACAGGAAAGAAAAAGAAAATAACAACCAAAAAAAAAACCTAAAAAAACCCCAAACCCTCAACAAGCTCTTTTCCACCCACGGTCAGCCTCCAGAGACTTTTCGTCAGCGTTTCCATGCCAGATGGCTCAAAGCTTCCTGCACGCCTGCGAGGGCTGGAAATGACTGCCCTCTGATGAAGCATCCCCAATATTTCACGTGAGCTCCTCCGCCGCCCAGCCCCGTGGTCCAGCCACGAGGTCCTTACCCGGACGGAGCTTCTCATGGGTCCCTGCTCCGTGTTGTAGGCCTCCACCTCCAGGACGTGAGAGGAGTTCTGCTCCCGGTCCAGGTGCCTCACGCCTCGCATCACCAGCCCGGTGCTGGGGTTGATGCGGAAATGGTTGTGCTCGTTTCCTGGAGGGAAGGAAAAGCAAGATGGATGCTCCTCATCATCACTGCATCTTGGTGGCATGCAGAGCCCTCCCCAAGGGGGCTATCTTGGAGGGAGATGATTGAGCAAAACCCAAGCCCCCATCACCTTCAGCTACATCAGGCTCAGCTGATGTAGGTTTGGCCCTGGTCAAGCCAGGAGTTATGGCATCTAGGTGTCCATCCATGACACATCATCTTCCCTATCCTAATGCTGAAGTTTTGCACAGGAGTTGGGGGGAACATTTCTGTGGGTTGCAAAGTGCAAGAGGATGGAGGGCGCAATGAGTCTGTGCATGGGGCTGACCAGAGACTGGTGGGAACGCACCCACGCATGAAGGGGCACCTGGACTTACCCTTGACAATCCTGTACCACACTCTGCCATTAATGCCTTCATCCGCATCCGTGGCTTTCACCTTTGAGAGAAAAAGAAAAGCATTGAAGGTAAAGAGCGGAGATTTCCAGGCCATGACAAGTCCTCTCACCCTGCCCAAGGCTGGACAACCTGCTGCTCCATCTGAGCCAGGGAGCTTAACAGCTGCAAAACAGAAGAAGTCACCTTCCCCTCATCACTGGACAGCAGGGATAACGGGCTCAGGAGCCCTCGGCTGCCAGGGTAGCAGCTGGATGGGTTTGGGGTAGGACCCAAGTCTGAGGACCATGCCATGAAACCATTGATGGAGGTCCTGCCCTGCACACCAATGCTCGCTCCGCTGGAGATGCCACTGGGGACAGAGCCCCCCTGCCTGCAGAGCTGGCTTGGCTTGGCAGAAAGAGCTGCTCTGGTGCCTGGTGGGCACCCAGCCCATGTCATCGGGGTGCATCATGCACTGTGTTAAAGGAATGGCCCACCTTTCAGCCAGCACACCCACCTGGGTCTATTGGCTCTGAGAGCTGCTTGCGTTTACCCTCTCACTGCAAGATATTGCCAAGTCACCCAAGCAGCAGCATATGCAAAAAAACCTGAAGGAAACATGAGTGCCACCAGCCTAGAGCATACGGTTATCTGGACACTGATCTGAGACCCTGAATAGTGGGTGGGAGCATCCCTCAGCTGTTATGCACTGCAAGGTCCATACATGTACTGGTGGACAACAGGATGGCCATGAGCCAGCAATGGGCCCTTGTGGCCAAGAAGGCCAATGGCATCCTGGGGGGCATCAGGAAGAGTGTGAGCAGCAGGTGGAGGGAGGTCATCCTGCCCCTCTGCTCTGCCCTGGGGAGGCCCCATCTGGAGCACTGGGTCCAGTTCTGGGCTCCCCAGTTGCAGAAGGACAGGGAACTGCTGGAGAGGGGACAGCAGAGGGTACAGAGATGATGAGGGGCCTGGAGCATCTCTCTTAGGAGGAAAGGCTGAGGGACTTGGGTCTTTTTAGTCTGGAGAAGAGAAGACTGAGGGGGGATCTGATCAATGCCTATAAATACTTCAAGGGTGGGTGTCAGGAGGATGGGGCCAGTCTTTTTTCAGTGGTGCCCAGGGACAGGACAAGAAGGAACGGGAACAAACTTGTACATAAAAAGTTCCATCTCAACATGAGGAGAAACTTCTGGCAGAGCCCTGGAAGAGGCTGCCCAGGAAGGTGGTGGAGTCTCCATTTCTGGAGACATTCCAAACCCACCTGGACACATTCCTGTGCAACCTGCTCTGGGTGGCCCTGCTTTGGCAGGGGGTTGGACTAGATGATCTCCAGAGGTCCCTTCCGACCCCGTATCATTCTGTGATTGTGTACCGACTAAGCCATCCAACCCGGGAAACCCAAGACACGGGTCCCCTCTGGTGTCACTGAAAAGCACTGCAGTGCTTTCCCCACCAGCCCCAGCCAGCAGCCTGCCAGCTCCACCAGCTGGGAAGCAGGACATGGGGAACAAGGGACAGCAGGGTCTGGGCTTCCTCCACGGCTGGCATCGAGCTGCTGCATCTCCCCCCTGAAGAAACCACTTCCCATGAGACATCCCAAACCACGACTGCTTGCAAATCACCGGGGTGAGGACACAGGGGGGGTGCCTTAGCCTTTATTCTCTGGCTGCTCCCCTGGCAAGACATCTTCTACCACATCTTCTCCCTACAAATGTTAGTCAGGGGTTTCCTTGCCCAGACTTGGGCTGAAAAGAGGAGGGATGGCTGCAAAGGATGCACGTGCAGAGGGAACAGTGAGGCCATTTATAGGGGGGGCTCAGCTTTAAATCCCTGGGCTGCCTTTCCCCCCACAGCCCCCCAGAATGCTTGCAGGACTTAGAGCTGCTCTTCCAAAATGCAATTTTGAGCTGCCTCGAGCCGCTCCTTTTCCCTTCCATCAAATCAGCCCGCGTCAGCAGAAATCTTCAAAAGTGCTGACTCTGCACCTGCCAAATGTCTGGCTTTCCCACCCGTGTGCCACACGGGCTGTTTGCCTCTGTCACAGACTGGCTCACCTCTTGCTTATGGCTGGACACAGCCCTGTGTCTTGCCCCGTGTTTCACTGGGGACCCAGCACCTCCTTTTCACAGCAGAAAGCTCTCCCTCCCACACCAGCTCATCCACCCTCAGGGCTCTCCTGGGGGCAGGAGCTGGGATATCTCCTCTCCCACGGGATGGATGGACCCAGAAGGTGAGGGATGCCCAGGCAGACTAGCTGCCTTGGCACAGCAAGACCAGCCTGCCACATGTACCAGTTCCCTCTTGGGATCCACTATCCCACCAGCCAAAACACCACGCCAGTGGGATGGAAGCCTAAGGGATGCAAGAGAAATCTTTGCAGCTTTTTGTGCCATTCCCTGCCATGCTGGGCCCGGAAAAATGCATTTCGAGGTGCACAAACAGGGAGGTTTTTCAACATGACGAGCACTGGATGGGAGCAGCAAGCCCCACTCTGCAAGAACCCCCTTAACCACCCTGTTCCCACCTCACCTGAGCATTTGCTTCTGGCAGCCCCAGCACCTAAATGGGTCAGCCCAGGTTATTTGGTTTTTAATGAAAAAATAGAAGAGTAGTTTGCATTAAAGCAGTGAATGATCCTGCCGCTTCCCATGGAACAGGACCAGCTGGAACAGGTCCAGCAGAGGGCCATGAAGATGATCAGAAGGATGGAGCACCTCTGTTGTGAGGATAAGGCTGAGAGAGCTGGGGTTGTTCAGCCTGGAGAAGAGAAGACTCCAGGGAGACCTTACAGGGGCCTTTCAATACCTGAAGGGGGCCTATAGAAGAGCTGGAGAAGGACTTTGACAGGAGGTGTAATGATAGGACAGGGGGCAACGGTTTTAAATTGGAAGAAAAAAGATTCAGATTAGATCTCAGGAAGAAATTTTTTACTCTGAGGGTGGTGAGACACTGGAACAGGTTGCCCAGAGAAGCTGTGGCTGCCCCATCCCTGGAGGGGTTCAAGGCCAGGCTGGATGGGGTCTTGAGCAACCTGGTCTGGTGGGAGGTGTCCCTGCCCAGGGCAGGGGGGTTGGAACTGGATGATCTTTGAGGTCCCTTCCAACCCAAACCATTCTATGATTCTATGGCTGAGAAAAAGCTTGGCTGCTGCTGGTTTGACCCACTGATGTCCTGGAGGAGGTGTGGTACTTCGAGAGACCGTCCCAAAACTTGAGAAAACAATTAAATTTGAGTGCAAGCAGTGGAAGAAAAGCTCGTTGTGCTGCAGGTGCAAAGCATCTTGTGGAGCTGAGTGCCAGGTGCCTTCAGCCTGCCTTATCCCTCTGCTAGAGAGAGCGGGCAGCGCCAGGCTTTGGCAAGCCACCTTTCAAACACCCCTGGCTCCTGCCCAGGGGGTCAGAAAAGGAGGAGGAAAATAAAAAAGATGGGAAAAAAAACCCCACAGGCGGCTTGGCGCAGAGTTGCTGGGAAAAGAGGGAGCAGGGTGGGGAGGGCAGCCCGCTGCCCCCTCCCCAGTGCAGGGGGGCTCAGCCCACGACTGTACCATCCAGCCTTCCCGAGGGGGCAAAAACACATCCCGGGGGATCTCCACCCTCTCATCCCAGCGGGACGCAGCCCCGGGGCACTGCTGTTGTGCTGGCACAGCCTGGGAAGGGGGGGCTCGGGGGGCCCCCCTCCTCAGTTTTCCATCTCTCTCCCCCCCTCCCTTGCCCTCCAAAAAGGAGGAGGGGGGCTGGCAGGCGGTGGAGCGCAGTGGGAGAGGCGGCAAGGCAGGCGTGCAGGAGGCAAAGCCCGGGCTCGGCCGGCTGGTGAGAGGTAGGGAGGCCAAACCCACCCCCCAAAACCCACCAGTGGCCACTTAGACTAACCACAAGGGGCGAGTGAGGCAGGCCAGGGATGTGCCACCATCCATCGGCCCTGCAGGCACCTGGGGACAGGGCTGCAAAGAGGGTGGGGAGGGGAGATGGGAAGGTTGAGGTGGGTTTGAAAGCGGGCATCCTTCTTTTCTTCCCCCCGTGGCATCACTTTGTCTCAAAAGGGGAGAGCCTGGCTGGCTCTGCTGGTTAACAGTGAGGGTGATGGGGCACAGCAGCACTTAAAGCCCTTGGCTTTTGGTACCTAAATATTCCGGGTGCTTGGTACCCTCCAGGGTTACCTCCTCCTGCAAGACAGCAGGGAGACTCAGCTCGTTGGGAAAAGCTGGGGAGCTCCAGGAAAGCGTCGCTAAGCAAGAGGAGGGGAGGAGGGGAAAGAGAGCTGCTTTTCATTCGAGCTGCGTTACAGGCACAGAAGTGCCTGGAAACAGCCTTTTCTTTGCAGGGATTTGAGGAAAGGGAGGGAGAGCCTAAGGAAAAACTCCTGCCAAATGAGGCAGTTGGGCCAGGCCAGGGAGGCAGCCCCCAGTGCCGGGCGGAATAATGCTCCCTGTCTTCTGCTGACGCTCAAAAAACCTTTCTTCTGCCTCTCCCACCTTCCTCAGGAGCATTTTGCTTTTTGCAATTTCTCTTCCTTCTGATCCTCAGCTGCCTCGTGCCCAGTGCTGAGCACTCAGGGGAATGTCTCATGTTAGAGGCCATCTGGAAGGGATGACCCTTTTTGGGAGAGGGGGGCTGCCAGGGACACTCTTCTACTCCCACATCTCTGTAGAAAAGTCAGCATAATGAGAAACTTTACCTCCAGCACAGAGGCTAGAGCATCAAGGACCAAGCCAAGGTTGTAGAGGGTTCCCTAGCCCTCATCTCTGAGCTGGGAAGATACTGGCCTCCAGTACAGCCAGTCCCTGGCCAAGAAAGGGTGCAGGAGAGCGCACGGAAGCAAAATGATGGGTGCAAACTGCTCCAGGGATGTGAATTAGGGGATGTGACCTGGTGGGGAAAGGAGACGACAGTCTCCATCAGGTGTTTGGAAAGAGTTCTTACTGATGAGGCTTGGAGAAGCTGGTTTGCATCACTGTTTGCAGATCGGGCTGAGGAACCCGTGGCATGTCTGAACCTGAAACCAGGTCAGCAAAACGCCTAACCCCAGAGGCGCAACAACGGTGAGGGCCTTAGACTATTGCTAGTGCAATATTGCAGCTTGATGGGGACTTACCTGGGCAGAGGTTCAACCAACTACCCATTTTCTTTGGGGCTGAGCAAAAAAATCAAAATACCCCAAATGACAGCCAATCCAATAAAACCACATTTCTGGGGAACAGAGAAGAACCAAAGCCCAGCAGCTTGAATGGAGGATTTTGGACCTTCTCTAGGGTACAGTTATTTATCTCTCTCAGAAAAGCTTCCAGCAATGTCTGTGTGGGATCCCTACAAGTGTCATCACAAGGGGTATGGTCCTGGGTGTACGTGCTACTCCCTGTGCTAGATTTATTTGCCAGATAGTTTTGCACTTCAGTTTGGGGCAGTACTTTACAGAGATAAATCATAGAATGGTTCAGGTTGGAAGGGACCTTAAAGATCATCAGGTTCCACTCCCCTGCCCTGGGCAGGGACACCTCCCACCAGACCAGGTTGCTCCAAGCCCCATCCAGCCTGGCCTTGAACATCTCCAGGGAATCCCACCTCTGTGCTTTGCCTGCTGGCAAAGCACACAGACTCCTGTCACCCTGTGTCATGGAAAACATGGCCAGGAGGACCTTGGACATCAAGTCAAGCCAAAAATCCATCAGGTTGAACAAAGGGTGGTTCTCTGTCCACCTTCTAGGTGGCAATCACCCATGCCGCTTCTCTCTTTCACCTTGTGCTGTGCAGGGAAGATGGGCACAGAGGACACTGGCAACGGAACCTCTCCCACCCCACCTCTCCTTGGGCTTCTGGTTTCAACCACCGAGCTGGTCCCACCCGTTACCGCATCCCCTGATAAGGCAGACCCACTGCCCATCATCGTGGTGCTCGTCTGCATCTTCCTCCTCCTGGTGACCTTCCTCATCTTTGCCACCCTCTGCAAGCCTGCAGGGCTGGACCAGTCCCGCTCTGGACCCCGTGAGTGCATGCCCCATCACCCGGTGGATGCCAGTGAGCCCCAGCTGAGGCTCTGGAAGCGGCTGGGCTCCCTGAGATGCTCCATCAACACCTTCAGGAGGAGTAGACCGATGTCCCAGAGCCACCTCGCACGCCCTAGGAGCTCCCCGACTAGCCAGGACTGGGACATCATGGAGTCCACCAAAATGTGATCCTGCTCTGCAGGAACTAGCTCACCCCACATCACCATTCTTTCCCAAGCTTTTGGTTCAGGCTCAGTTCCCTTCTCAAGGATCCCCTGGTACCCTGGGCATCCCAGCAGAGCTTCTTTAAATGGCTTATTTCCAGACATTGGCTCTGCAAGGCAACAGGAGACTTTTTGCTATTTCAGGTTCCCAAATGCTTTCCAGGTTACCGTTTCCTGGCAGGAAAGGTGGAGGCATCCAAAGTACACCCACACGCAGCTATCATTTCTTTTTGGAAAATATTGTGCAAGTTGCACAGCACCCCAACAAACAGCCTGGGCGAGAGAGCAGAGCAACCTGGCTGCCTTTGAAGAGAGGCGTCCTGGAGCAAACACGCTCCACAAAAAGCAATCCTCAAGCTGGGATTGCACCCCAAGATGTGCCCCGGGGCAGGTGGAGGAAGGCTCATGCTCCTCATGTTCTGCCTGGTTCCCCATCCCCTGTCTCCCTGTGTGATGAGCTATGGGATGCTGCGGTTGGTGCTTGGAAGGATGCGCGCTCCAGCTGCCTGCTGGAAACCTGCTTCAATAAACAAGCAGCAGGAGCAGGTAAACACGTCTGTAAACGCATTAAAAAGAGGCCTTTTGAGGCTCGCAGGAGCTGCCAAGCTCAGAGAGACACTGCGCAAAGCCGAGCGGCGTGTTTCTGCTGGGAAAGGGTACACAGCAGCCAGCAGGTGAGCTGACGTGCTTACAGGAATCAGTGGGAAATGGAAAAAGTGGTTCAATTCTTCCAGATCTGCAGCTCGCGCTGCATTCAGCCATCGAGTTCATTGTTTCACCCATTGAGTGAAGTCTCCGTGCCTGGTGAGGCACCGTGGTGAGCACCATCTGGGTTTCACATGGTTTCTCACCCTCGCAGGGTGTAACTCTGCCTTGGGACCTCCCCAGGCTGCCCGGGACATTCCCATTCTTGGGACATTCCTGCTCTCTTCCAGCCCTGGGCTGCCTGGCTTTCAGAGAAGGGGATGGGGAAACCTTCAAAAACTCTCTTGTTGCCGCAGGAACGTGAGGATCCGTTTGAAGGGGGAGATGTTCAGCGCAAACGGTTCGCACTAAAGGTGTAAATTAAACTGAGTCCAGGTGGTTGCCCATTTCCACTTCCCTCTCATTTTGTTTGGTAGAAAACAAACCTCCCCCAAATATCTCTCCTTTGCCAAAAGCATCCCCTCTTTTGGGGAGCATGCTGTAAAAAAAAAAAAAAAAAAAAAAAAAAGGAAAACAAAAGGATGGGGGGGTCTTGGATGTCAGACTCAGGGTTTCCTCCATTCCCAGTTTTAAAATTTGCGAAAAACAGTGCAGTTTTGGGAGTCCCACGGCAGAACCCCTCTCCACCTGCACACCTCCACCCCTGGGTGCAGGGGTTAGGGGCAGATGCCTGACCCCAGAGACGGGCACGGGGCTACAGGCACCACGTACACCCTGCCACAGCACAAGAGGCAACAAGGAGCTGCAGGGCTCACGCTTGGGGGGATCGAAGCCAGAGCACGACTCCCAGCAAACCTTTGTCACGAGAGGCAAAAGGCTCCTTTCTTCTCTCCCCGGTGACTCACCCTGCCCAAGAGAGCCAGGGACAAAGCTGTCCCTCTGCCTGTGCCGGGAGAGGTATTCAAGGCAGGAGGAGCAATCTGCAAAGAGCCTTTTGGTGCCTGCTCCAGAAGAGCCCTGGGTTTGAAGGGATGCTGGAAGCCCCCAGAAGCCACGTGAATGCCCGCATTCATTCGGCCCTCACTGAGCCATTCAGCTCTGCCCACCGCTCCCTCAAAGAGGAACAAAAATGAAAGCAAAGTCCAAATGCTTTTCTCCCTCCGTTTCCTCCCCCCTTTCTCAGAGCACCTCTTTGCCTGCACTCTGCTCCCTCCCCCTTGAGATCTCCGCTCTCGGTCCCCTTCTCCGCAGGGAGGAAGGAGAAAGCAGGGACACAGCCAGGCAAAGGGGGCATGCCAACACAGGGCTTGGGTTTGTTCCTCTCACCCCTTCTAGAAACGGGGTGAATTTCTAGGTTTTTTTTCCCCTTGTGCTTTCCTGTCTTCTCCCTGCTGCTCACAGCCTGGGTTAGAAAGGGTCAGGGTACAAGGAAGAACACAACCTGCCCTGGTCTGGAGGAAGAAGAGCACCAATGGGGAGAGAAAACATCTGCCCTGGGCTTCCAGCAGCTCACAGCTGTGGTGCCATGGCCCAGAGAGCAGGGCATCCCTTCGCCCACCCAGGGGCCCTAGTAGGAGAGAGCCACTTGCCTGCACTATGCTGCTGGCGGCTGGGATGTCCTCGGGGACACTGACTTCGTAGCTGCTCTGAAGGAAGATGGGTCGATTGTCGTTGACGTCCAGGACGGTCACGTAGACGGTGGCAGTGCCAGTGCGCCGGTTCCCCGTGGGGCCATTGTCTGTGTGAGAGAGAAAGGGGAGGGGAGGTTCAGTCACCTCTTTGCACAGGCAGAGCTCAGCCTCTGGCTGCCAAAAATAACAGGACCATAATTCCTAAACTGAGCTTTCAGACTGGCAGCCGGGATGTCCTCGGGGACACTGACTTCGTAGCTGCTCTGAAGGAAGATGGGTCGATTGTCGTTGACGTCCAGGACGGTCACGTAGACGGTGGCAGTGCCAGTGCGCCGGTTCCCCGTGGGGCCGTTGTCTGTGTGAGAGAGAAAGGGGAGGGGAGGTTCAGTCACCTCTTTGCACAGGCAGAGCTCAGCCTCTGGCTGCCAAAAATAACAGGACCATAATTCCTAAACTGAGCTTTCAGATCCCACCCTGAACCGCTGGGGGAGGTGATGGTGGTGGCACCACCTCCAGAGAGGATTCTGCCTGTCCCTAAAGACAAAAGAAAAGCCAAACCACCCCCCGAACTCTGCCAGGGAGCCACAGAGGGTTTGCAATTCCATCAACTAAGAGGGTGAGGTATGCTGGAAGGGACTCCTGGAGGTCAGAGATTTGGGAGATGAAGCTAAGCAGGAGTCTGATGAGCTTTCTGTAGAGCCAGGTCGGCTCCCAGCCAAAGAGCACCAGGACCAGTTGATGCTCAGCAGATAAGGAGATGGCAGCACGACTCTTGGCTTTGCCACAAAGGATGAGGCAACGGGGAGCATGGGTTGGATTTGGTTTCCCAACATGCTTGGTGCAAGGGAGCACTTAAACTCACCCAGGTGGGATCTGGTGGTAGGGGAGACACGGGCAATCTGGTACCCATCCGAGGGGCAGAAGGGACCCCTTACCACTTGGGATCGTGGGTCCTGCAGACCCCATGGCACCTGCAATGCCGTTCCCCTGAGATTTCTGACCAGGCCACTTATTTCTCCTTTCAAAAGGGACGTCTAACTCTTCTGTAAACAGGCACATCGTTATAAAGCTCTGGGGATGACGGCCAAGATGGGTTTGGCACACAGACCCTCTGCCTGTGCCAGAGGGCTCTGGAGTAATTGGCAGCCACTGAGCTAAGGGCTGGCAGGGCATCAGGGGGATGATGCTGTGGCACTGGCATTTCTGGGTGGAGGTCTGCCCTTGGGAATGGGGGGTCTTGCCTTCCCCGGGGGAAAGGGAAAGCCTCAGGGCAAGTTTACTCTCTGCAAAAGTCACGGTGAGACTGGGACATATGAATGCATGCTGTGAAATTTTAACACCAAACACAGCAGCTCAAAGGCTGCTGTCCTTCTGCCACGCTTCCGAGGCAGCTCAGCATGGGCAAAGCCACCCCGCGTGGCAGTGGTCCCACTGGGACAGTGGGCAAGCCTTACCGATGGCCTCCAGGATCAACGTGTACGATGCCACGGTCTCCCTGTCCAGACTCACGACCGTCCTGACCACCCCATCCCTGAAGCCAACGCTGAACTTGCCATCCTGGTTCCCACCTGCAGCAAAGGAGAAGGAGCAGGTTATCCATCAGCAGGACGTGGGGAACAGAGCATCCTGAGAAGAGGAGGCTGAGGGGAGACCTCATTGCCCTCTGCAACTCCCTGAAAGGAGGGTGTAGAGAGGTGGGGGTTGGCCTCTTCTCCCAAGGGAAGAATGACAGGAGCAGAGGAAATGGTCTGAAGTTGGGGCAGGAGAGGTTTAGATTAGATATTAGGAGGAATTACTTTCCTGAGAGGGTGGTCAGGCACTGGAACAGCCTGCCCAGGGAGGTGGTGGAGTCACCATCCCTGGAGGTATTGAAGAAATGTGTAGACATGGCTCTTCAGGGCATGCTCTAGTGCCTGAGACTGTAAGGTTTTGGGGTTTTTTTGTGTGTGTGTGTGTGGTTGGACTCGGTGATCTCAGAGGTCCTTTCCAACCATGGTGATTCTGTGCTTCTGAGCTCATGCTGCACAGGATGCCGGGCACGGAGTCAGCCTGGCTCAGCCCCCCCTCCTGAAGGGATGCATTTTACATAGTTTTGAGCGAGGCAAGTGTAGGATAATCCCATATCTTGCCCTAGCAAAGCTGCTCTGCAGCAGAAGCGGGCAGAGGGCCTTCCCTCCCCACACCAAATGCTGTGCCTGCCTGACAGGGCCCGCAAAGAGCAACTCTTGTAGGAAAAAGCTGAATCATGTAAGAGCCAGATCATTTCCTGAGCATTTTGGAAGGAAACCTGTGTCCCTTCACATGTGGCCTGGGGCAAAGAGCAGGAAAAGGAAAAAGCCGTATCGTGTAAGAGCCAGGTCATTTCCTGAGCGTTTTGGAAGGAAACTGGTGTCCCTTTGCACGTGGCCTGCGGTACCCGTGGGCCAACGCACACTTTTTCTCTTGCAAGGGATGCCGGAGGGGCTGTGAGACGAAACGTGAGGCTGTTGTTTTGAGCCAAAGAAATGACTTTCCGGCGACACTTCTATTTTTGCCCGCTCTCCCCGAGGCCTCAATGCCCTGCCTGCAGTTTGCAAGTCAAAGCGTGGCCAGGGGCTTCCCCGCTGCAGGTGCTGTGAGCCAGGCACTGCCCGGGTGGCATCACTGCCTGCCTGCTCCCTGCCCACCCAAAAACCACCCCCGCACAGGGCTACGAGATGCCCCAAAACCCCAGAGAGGCTTCCAGCCTTTCGTGTAGGTAGCACCGATGCTGTCTCAGCCCC